GCACGTCATGAGAAACAGCAGACATCGTAGGCAGATGAGATCAAAATGGCTGCCCCCAGATATTGATATTAAGCACAAGGAAAAAAAGATAATAAACATAAATAAAAGCAAGTATCAAGAAGGTTAGAATAATCATTTAGATACAGGGGCATAATGAACTTTAAAAAAGAAAAAGAAAAAAAAAGAAGACCAGGCCAGCTTTAACGTGTGTGGTCCACTGCTTCTTTTAGTGGGTAATTGTCTTTCCAAATTCTGGTGTTATTTGTCTGATGCGTGAGCCAAGTTACATAGAAACAAATATTATACTATGGGAATGGATAATACTTTAACAAACATAGTCCATAACAATTTCTACTGTAGAATCCACTATCTTGAAATACTATAACTAAAAACAGTACTTTGTATTACGATGAGATGTATCTGAGAAAGTCCTGGAAAAAAACACTTAAGAGAATATTTGTGTTTGATTGGCAAATCAAACACTGATAACAACAGAACAAGGTTACGGCCTAAGTATTAAGGAACCATTTCCCATGTTGCTCAGAATGTAAAAACTTTGTCAAAACTGTATTCTGATCGCAAGTCTTGGATAATATAAGAAAACATTGGTTAATTGCTCAAAGAAGTTCTTGAGAATATTGTAAGTACTTTTAAAGAAGATTTTCCCTCCTAAAGATTTTACTTTTAAAAAGATATAAGTATATGAAAAACGTATCTGTATTTTCTCTGTGAATATGAAAAACTTATTGTAGTTTATTAGTGTATGCATTCATTACAAATGTGTTTTCCTAACGCTTCAGTGTCCCTAGTTTAGTGTCGCCCCCTCCTCCCATGCATGCTATGAAAATAATACAATAAAGCTTTTGACTTAACTTATGCAGTTTATCACTTCTCCTGCAATGACATCACGGAGGAAGCATGGCCGCCTGTGCGATGGTCCAATATAAAGCTCCTCATTAAGATTGATTGGAAGAGCTGATGATCATGCGCGATCAATGCTTTCCTAGGGGGGCTGCGTGACTGCGTTATTATTGGTTGTTGCAGTAGAACCGCTGCCAGTGTTTGATCTTGAATGGTTAAATTAACAGGACCACTGTTGCCATTTCATTGAAATTAAGTGGCCAGGGTGACTTTTATGGTCATTTAATTCTAAAGTCTTCAATGAGTGTGCTGTGGAGCAACAATTCATGATTTATCCAGATGTATTCTAAAGTTTATTATTTTCCATTTATACCAAGGTTCTTGGGAGTATTGTGTTTACAGTGACTATGAGTCAGTTGTTCAGCTTTACAAGTCATGGAATTGTGCATAGAAATGTACAGAATGATTGCGCTTTGAAAGAAAGTAACCGTAGGTTACATTAGATCACTCTAGAAAACTACACTCCTCTCTTCATAGCTCGATCATAGCGATCTGTCTGGTAAGGGAAAAGGATGGAGCTCTTCTCTGTTTGGTGTATTACTGCCCTCTGCCAATTTCTGTTGGAAATACAGCTAATAAAAAAAAAACATTGTCAGTTAAAGTATATTTGTGTAGATTTAACTAGTAAATACAATTAATAAATACCTGTCATCAAACGAAATATGAAAAAGATTAGGAGGGATTGTAAAGGCTATGGAGAAGCCATACTGGACTGTTTCAATACAAGAACAGAACAGGAATCCCAAACAGTGGCTGATGTTCTGAAAGGCACAATTTCAATACCACCTTTACCCTCAATGCAAAATATCCCTGGCCTGCCACCTTATCCTCCCACAACAAATTACCTCGTCTTTTTCTCTACCCGCATTAAAAATACCCCTAGCAGTCTTCCCCCAAAAATAACACCCATTGAAGGACTCCTGGAAGCCCCACTCTGAAAATACTTTTGGCACTCTTGCAGCCACCACCACAGTCACACATACCTTCCTGGCTCTCCTCCCCAGACTTGTTTAATCTCTTGCCCATTTTTATTTAATATCTATCTGATGTCCTCTGCTCCTCAGAGTCTTCACCAGCCATTAAAAACACTGTGCGGTACTACACAATCGAGTCATCATGTGAATGCAAAGGGGCACGTAGACTTTCAGCCTTAGTTCTGCTTTCCTAATGATAGGAGGGCATAATTGCCAGGCTAATGTAGCAGAGTGTGTATTACCCTACTTCTAGAAAGGTAACTGGGCAGTTTAATTAGTTATCAGGAAATCGTTTATCTGTTCATCTAAACAAATCAAAGGAAGGTTGGATGGCTCTCAAGCTGAGCAGATGGGCCCCATTTTTTAAATGTGTTAGTCTGATCCTTGGGCCCTAGAGAGTCGTTGGGCCCCTGCACAGATCATGGGTTCTCGTAAGGGTGGCCTTCATTGCAAAAGATCAGAAACATCCTCTGCTAGGTAGACATTGGCTGATCACCATGGTTCTTAAAGTATTAATTTAGTGGTTTTCTGTTCAAATGATATAGAGAAAATTCTGAGCAAAAAAAGTGTTACTTCAAAAATTTGCAGGAAAAATGCAGTCTACATCAAACATAATGTATGTTATGTAGTGTCATAGGCTATATACTATTTACAGACTTATCATATATAAATCTAATCCTATGCTAGCCATAACCCTATTCCTCACTTTCTGCTTAGCCCCATCTCTATCCCTCACCTGCTACCTAACCCTATCTCTAGCACTCACCTATACCTAACCAAATCCCTCACCATATACCTAACCCTCACCCATACATAACCCTAAGTGATAACTTGGGTGCCCCTTAGGAACAGCGTGTCAAGTATAGTGCACAACACTGCAACATTGTTTAAAATACAGGCAGAGCCGGCGCTTCCTATAGGCAGACTAGGCAGTAGCCTAGGGTGATCTGTGAGAGGGGACGCCCGCAGTGGCTGTAATACTGTCTGGATCCCCCATGAGGTATTGCTGGCTATGTTTAATCACGGAAAACATAAAGACCCTGCCTCCGCCTGTGATGCAGCTGCCGGTGCCCTCCCCCCACTGCTGCAGCCCTCCTCCTTGTAATTTGGCTAGATAAACTTATTTTATCAGAACATAGGAGTTACGATTGTAACCCCGTCTCTGCCTTCCCACAAACCACTAACCCCCTCCACAGCTAACTCCAGCCTAACTCTGCCCCCGCCTGCCTCTGCCGCCTCCTCACAATTCTCTGTCAGAAGTCCTTTGAAGAGGAGGGCAGTGGGAAGGTTCCTGTGCTGTTCCCCCTGACCTGTTCCTGGTGGCAGGGACCACATAAATATTTAAAGCATGACACAGAACAGGTACCACACTGACTAACTGCTGCTTCCAGTGCCCCTAGCCCCCACCTGAGTATGTGAGGGAAGATGTTTGCTGTGTGTATATTAGGCTTTGTATGTATTAGGCAGTGTGTGTGTGTATTAGGCAGTGTGTGTGTTAGGCAGTCTGTGTATGTGTGTATTAGACAGTGTGTGTGTATTAGGCAGAATGTGTGTGTGTGTGTGTATGTGTGTTTGTGTATTTGGCAGTGTCTGTGTGTCTATTACACTGTGTGTGTGTGTGTATTAGGCAGTGTATGTCTCTACTGGACAGTGTGTGTATGTATTAAGCAGTATATGTATGTATTATATGTACATAATATCCTATACTGCATATTTGTATTAAGCATGCAGTTTGTATCAGAGATGTGGAATGCCTATCGCCCAATGCCTGGAATATGTAGTTCCGAGCGTTGAACAGGAGTATTTTTTAAAAATTATTTTAGGGCTGCCTTGGGGGGTGTTGGTGCCAAGCAGGGAGTCTACCTCATGCAGGCATACCGGGATGCTGTAACTGGGCCTGCCTGCAGCTCACAGGGAGGTGTGAAGAGCGGCAGCACCCAACTGCTCCTCACAATGCTCAAGACTCATGGTCGCCGGGATTCAGCGTGGCATCATACCAGGCAACCAGCACATTATAAAGGGCAGAAAGAGCACGTGTGAGTGTCAGAGAATGTGCAGTGTGTTTGTGTATGGGCCAGTGTTAGTGTGTAGTGTGTGTGTGTATGGGTCAGTGTTAGTGAGTGTCAGTGTGCAGTGTGTGCATGGGTCAGTTTTGGTGAGTGTTAGTGTGCAGTGTGTTTCTGTATGGTTAGATAGGTTAACAAATTTAAACCTCTTTAGTTTAAAAAAACGTCGCCTGAGAGGGGATATCATAACATTATACAAATGTATTCGGGGCCAATACAAAACATTATGTGGAAATCTATTCACAAACTGGACTTTACATAGGACACGGGGTCATGCGTTTAGACTGGAAGAAAGAAGATTTCATCTAAGGCAAAAAAAAGTTTTTTTTTACTGTAAGAACAATAAGGATGTGGAATTCTCTGCCTGGTTTTATCAGAGTCCATACAGATGTTCAGACAGCATCTAGATGCATACTAGCAAAAACAGAATATTCAAGGATATCATTTTTCAATGTAGGGTAATAGCTGCTTGATCCAAGGATTAATCTGACTGCCATTCTGGGGTCAAGAAGTAAATTTTTTCCTAGTTTGTTGCAAAATTGGAAATGCTTCAAACTGGGTTTTTTTTGCCTTCTTCTGAATCAACAGCAAAAACCAAATGTGAGGAAGGCTGAACTTGATGGCCGCAAGTCTCATTTCAGCTATGTAACTATGTATGTGTCAATGTGTTTGTGTATGGGTCCACTTTAGTCCCTTGGACAAGTAGATTTAAAAAAATATATATCCATACCCTTGTATGTATTTAGAAAACAGTTTGTGTGTGTGTGTGTGTGTGTGTATAGGCAGACTATGAGCATGAGACAGTTTGTGTATTGGTGTGTATTGTGTGTTGGTGTAGGTATTCCGTTTATGTAATAATCATATATTTCAATGTACTTATTAGGCAGTATGTGAGTATGCATCTATAAAGCAGTTTGTGTGTGTGTGTGGCAGCATGTGTATGTACTAGGCAGTTTGTGTGCATGTATCAGGCAGTGTGTGTATTAGAAAGTGTTTGTGCGTATAATGCAGTGTTTATGTTTTGGTGTATGTATGTATTCAGCAGTTTCTTTGTGTGTGTATTAGGCATTTTGTGTGCATGTATGTATAAGGCACTTTCTGTGTGTGTGTGTGTGTGTGTGTGTGTGTGTATGTGTATGTGTATGTATTGGGCATTGTGCGTGTTTATATGTATAAGGCAGTTTTTAAAAAAAATTCTTTATTTTTCACGTGCATAGAATAACAGATATACTTGTAATGCCACGACAGCAGTGACAACCGAACATAGTCATGGCAGGTAAAACGACACATTTTATATATTTATGAGAGGTAACAGGCTAGGGATATAAGAGTAAACTACAGTAGTGTAGCCGGTCTATGTAAGCATGCTTAAGTAGTAGTTGTGTGTTCAGAGAATATACAAGCTATGCAGACTAACATAAACGTATAATTGTGTAACATGAGAAATCCTACTGTGCACATTGTTAACCTGTCTGAAGGAGATTAAGACTAGGGAGACATAAAAGTGTAACAGACAGGAATATATCAGGTGAGTAAGGTGAGTGTGGTGGAGTGACAGAAAGCAAAGGCTTAGGGGACAAGGTAAGTCATGAGTTAGAGCACTTAACAGTTTGCACAATCAGGTAAGGTGGCTGCTATTGGTATATAGCGGATCTGGTAACTTAGGCACGGAAGGGCATGTTAAGTCCACGTTCAGCCGACTCCTGATATTGGGAAGCGCAGGAAATCTGCAAGGCGGTCCTTCAGGGCCTTGAGCACATGTAGAGGCCAGGGATGCCAAGTGATCAAAGGGAGTCCAGGTTTGGTCCGTATCGGCACCTTTCTCTGAGTCAGCTTGCATGTCGCTGCACTTCGCCGCCTGCATGATCGCCCCTGCGGGGGTCTCCCCTCATTCAGCGCTGATCGATCCATATGGCGGCTTGCAGGTGTGGGCAGTGTGCTCCACTTGTGTGGTCGCTGCCGGTGAGCAGCTCTCTTGGTGACTCTCGGCCCGGGGGTTTGATTGCAGCTTAAGACAGGTGCTGGACACCCTTGGATGCCGCCATGCCATCCGCGGCCATTTTGTGCATTCCACCTCTGGTCTTGTGCCTGGGGGTCCCATTTGAGGCTCGCCGCTCTTGCCGCCAGCTTCACCCAGAAGGCCTCCAGAACAGCATCCAGCTTTGCCGTTAGGCTTTTCTGGGACTCCGGTCTGCTTTCGGCGGTTAGTTGCTGTGCTTGGCTGTGGCAGGTGAGTGAGTCCGCCATCTTGTGCATTGGGTTACATTCCGTGATTCCGATGTGCTGTCTGTTAGGGGCCATCCACACCGTAGGCAGTGGAGTGTGGACTGGGATCTCTATGTGGTCCTGCTGGAGGAAGAGACAAGGGGTGGGAGATCTCCTGCCCGTTGCCTTCGCTAGGCCACAACCGCTCTGCAGAGCTTTTGGTATTCGGCATTCCGGTTTTCCGGACCGGGGCACTCCAGCCGCCATTTGCGACAGTTATGTCCCCTTTTGGATTGGGTCATGTGCCACAGGGAGTCTCTATACGTCGCTTGGGCCAGCATCTTGCTAGCGAGCTCCAGCAAACTGCGACCGTCCGCCATGCTGGTCAGGCCCCGCCCCCACAATGCAGTTTTTTTGTGTGTGTGTGTATATGTATAAGGCAGTTTGCGCTAATAGAGAGGAATACTCCACACACACAACGTATTTCAACTTGCTGAAGTGCTTATAAAAGGGCTGATTTCAATAGAAATCCTCCCTGTCTGTCAAATAGCTAGGGAGGTTTTCTTCCACTTCCTTAGTGTGCACCATCCTTCTCCCTTTCTCAATGAGCTGAACTTTGGAAACATTGAAAAGCTGTGATCGAGTGTGCATGCGCTCAACTGCAGCCCCAGTACAGAGGCTTCTGAGTGAGAAGCATCTGATTGGACAGCTTGCAGAACATAACGCCTATTTTCTTTTAGGGTATATCTACTAAATTGTTCAGAGAAGTCAGTGGAATGTTTTCTTTTGGAGTTTAGTGAATAAACTTGTAAAACTATCTCATGAGTGGGCGGCAAAATGGACCTTTGCCTAGGGCGGCAGCATTCCTTACACCGGCCGTGAATACAAGGTGTAATATTGTGTTGACATACTTTGACAAGATGTTGTGTCTTCACCATAATCAGCAACATTTTTAGTTGCCACATTCATTGGTTGTAATTTTTGATTGTTAGTGGATACCAACTTTAGTTTAGCATGTTGAATTACTTTTTTATGTTCATTTGTCAAAAAGGGGATGTTATGAGAGGCAAGCTCTGCAACAAAATGATTGACTTACTCGATGATTTGGCTTTCTCAACTAACACTGGGCATAATAAGAGTTGAAGGACTGAAGGACAGGCATTCTGTGATTGAACATTACTTTGCCCCAACAAGTGCAAGTTTGCTCAGTTGAATAAAACAATCAAGGATCACTCTATACTTCATAAATGTAAATCCAGCTGCCTTCCATGTTAATCAGCTTACATTACAAAGCAAATATAAAAGTTTGAATTGCAAATGTAGTAACTGAAACTAACAAGAAAGAATGTAAAATTAGGGAAATTGAAGAAAATGAAATACATTAAATAAACAAAAGCATATATTTTAGTGTTCCTACAAAGTATTTAGTGTATATGTAATGTATACGTAAAGAGAATATTATCCATTCATAAAAAATGGATATGGAAAAAGAAAATTAAACCTACGCGAAATATAATAAAAACCTACTCATGCTAACTGCCTTACCGTAAGACCAGTGGGGCCCATGTAAGTAATAGCAGATCAGTGTAAATAGACAGGATGCTTGCTGTAACTCAGTTTAGTCTACTGAGAAACGTTAGGTTTAGAAACAAGTGACATCAGCTTCATGAGGCCCCATCAAAATTACTTAGTTAAAAAAATACAGAAACATGGACATAGCTGTATGTATACTGGTCTTACTTTGCTGTGTAGGATAGTGAGATATTTGTAAAAAATAATAATAATAATAATAATACATTTATATATATGTTTGTGGTAATGGAAAAA